GCCATGTCTTCCCCATTTTAAAATTGGATTATTATTATTATTATTATTTTGATATCTAGTTCCTTGAGTTCTTTGTATATTTACTCTGTTGAATGCAGAGTTAGTGAAAATCTTTTCCCGTTCTGTGGGCTGCTGCTTTTTTTGAATGACATGTCCTTTGCCTTACAGAAGCTTTTCAGTTTCATGAGGTCTCATTTATTAATTGTTAACTTCAGTGCTTACACTGTTGGTGTTCTGTTCAGGAAGTCTTCTGTGACAACACGTTCAAAGCTATTCCCTGCTTGCTTTTCTGTCAGGTACAGTGTATCTTATATATGGTTTTATGTTGAGATCTTTAATGCAGTTGACCTTGAGTTTTTGTGTAAAGTGATAAATATGAGTCTATTTATATTCTTCTACATGCAGATACCCAGTTCGGCCAGCACCATTTGTTGAAGATGTGAAAGGTGTCGTTTCTCTGATTTCTTTAACCCAGTCTATTTGTTGTTTGTATATAGGAATTTTGCTGATTTTTTTGTGAGTTAATTTTGTATCCAGCTACTTTTCTGAAATTTATCAGCTTTAAGAATTTCCTGGTAGAAATTTATGTATAGGGTTACATCATCTGATAATAATAATAATAATACTTTAACGTCTTCTTTTTAATTTTTCCCCTTTTATCTCCTTCAGTTCTTCACAGTTGCTCAATTGAAGACTTCAAGTACTATAGTGAATATGTATGAAGGGCGTGGACAACCTTGCCTTGTTCCTGATTTTAGTGGAAATGCTTTGAGTTTCTCTCCATTTGACTTGATGTTGGCATAAATTTGCTATAAACTTTAGGTTTGTCTTTATTATGTTTAGGTATATCCATTTTATCCTTAATCCCTCCAGGACTTTTATCATGAAGAGGCATTAGGTTTTGTCAAAGGCCTTTTCTGCATCTAATGAGATGATTACATAATTTTTTCTTTCAGTTTTTTTTTAATAAGGTGGATTACATTTACTGATTTTTATATAGTGAACTATCCTTGCATCTCTGGAATGAATGAAGCCTATTTGATCATGGTCAATGATCTTTTGATGTATTCTAGGACTCAGTTTGCAAGACTTTTATTGAGTAATTTTGCATCTATGTTCATAGAGCAAACTGATTTATCATTTTCTTTCTTTGTTGGGTCTTTATGTGGTTTGGATATCAGGATGACTGTGGCCTCATAACTTGAATTAGTCTCCTTCTTCTTCATTTTGTGGAATAATATGAAAAGTATTGGCGTTAACCCTTCTTTTTGGGGGGGACTTTTTAAACATTTATTTTTATTATGTGTACAATGTTCTGTCTGCATGTACACCTGAATGCCAGAAGAGGCACCAGATTTCATTATAGATGGCTGTAAGCCACCATGTGGTTGCTGGGATTTGAACTTCGAGACCTTTAGAAGAGCAAGCAGTGCTCTTAACCTCTGAGCCATCTCTCCAGCCCCCTTGGGGGGGACTTTTAATGACTGTTCCTATTTCACTAGGGTTTATAGTCTATTTCAACTGTTTATCTGATCTTGATTTAACTTTTTTAAGTGGTACTTGTTGATGAAATTATTCATTTCTTTTAGATTTTCCAGTATAATGGAATATCTTCTTCCAGCTCTTTACCGTGAGGTAGTGTCTGTCCTTGATGTTGAGCTGTTTCTTGAATGCAGCAGAAGGATGGACCCTGTTTTCACATTCCTTCTGTTTGTGTGCTCTTGTTTGGAAATGGAGACCATCGATACTGAGAGATAGCAATGACCAGTGGTTGTTGATTACCGCTGGTTGTCATTATTGTTGATAATGGCACTGTGTATGTGCACCTGTGCTTTCCTTCTTTTGATTTTGCTGGTGTGAGTTTATTTCCTGCGATTTTTGGATGTAGTTAACCTCCTTAGGTTGGAGTTTTCTTTCTAGCATTTTCTGTAGTGCTGGATTTGTGGACAGGTATTGTTTAAATTTGACTTTACCGTGAAATATGTCATTTTCTCCCTAGATGGTGACTGAAAGTTTTGCTGAGTATAGTAATCTATGCCTGTATGTGTGGTCTCTTGGAGTACATCTGCGGTACATCTATCCAGGTCCTTTTGGTTTTAGAGTCTTCACTGAGAAATCAGGTGTAATTCTAATAGTTCTGTCTTTATATGTTACTTGGTCTTTTCCCCTTGCAGCTTTTACTATTCTTTCCTTGTTCTGTGTGTTTAGTGTTTTGATTATTATGTGGCGAGGAAACATCCTTCTCTGTCCCACTCTGTCTGGTGTTCTGTATGATTCTTGTACCTTTATATGCATCTCCTTTTTTATGCTGGCATCTCAGCATCTGGGCTTGGGGTGATTATAAGTCTAGGTGTGGATCTGCTCTTGTCTTTGTTGTGTGGGTATTTTGTTTCTTGGTTTGTGTTTCCTCTCTGGATTTTCAGAGAATATAATGGCTGCAGTTTGCCCGTCTTCCTAGCCCGCTTGGCTGGTATGTTCACAGGAATGCCTGCTGGTGTTGGAGGCTGAGATACTGGGATGAGTTGGGGGAAGGAAGGTTGGAGAAGGTCTTTGTGATCCATTGGAGAGTGGAGTCTAAAGGAAAGGGAAACCATAACAGGTTTCCAACTACAGAGCTGGGGATGAGACCGGGGAGGAGGGAGTGAGGTTGGGTGGGGTAAGTGGGAGATGGGGAGATTAGATCTCAGGAGCAGTAGGAGAAATGTTAGTACCTTCAGCTTACTTGTTGCCCTTGGAGGAGAGGCCCTTGGGTTAGCAGGGGAGTGTCTGCTAGAGTTGGGGTCTAGAATAAAGCAAGGAGCTGGAGGAAGGTAGTTAGGAGGGGATGTTTTGTGGGATCCACAGGAGATGTTGGCAGGGGTAAGGGAAGGCTGCAGCTGGTGTTGTGTTGCAGCACTAGAGACAAGCCCTGGGGATTGGGTCTTGGAGAACCGAGAGAGAAGAGACCTGCAGGCAGCTACCTGGTTTTCTGGCAGGCATGCATACGGCCTGTTGGACCATATGAGAGTCTTAAACTTGCAAGTCAAGCACTTTACCCTCTAGTCCAAACTTTTTTTTTTTGTAGTTGAAAGAGGCTAAAGCTACTACAAGCAGAATGACTTGGCACATACCTAGACATGGTGGTAAAGTTTTCCACAGCCAAGAATCACCTGAGAAGAGGGTCTCAACCTAGAAAATGTCCAGATTAGCTTGTCCAATGTGTGTATCTGTGGGACTGTTTTGACTGTCAATTAAGATAGGAGAACCTATCTTGGATGTGGGAAGTACCATCTTACAGGCTGGGGCCTGAGAGTGTAAGAATGAAGGAAGCTGGCTCAGCAGGAGGGAACAGGCAGCGCGAGCAGTCAGCTCTCTGCTCCTGTCTGGGGATGGTGTGACAAGCTCTTCTCTATGACTTCCCCTTGGTAACTGTGATCTGGAACTGCAAAATTCGAAAATCCCTTCCCCACTAAGCTGCTTTTGCTCATGTTGTTTTCTCACAGCAAATGACAGCAGAACGCCATGTCAGGAGGTAGACATAGACAGTTCCATCTTTTTTTTTTTTTTGACAGTTCCATCTTGAGGAGAAATGAGGCCTTTACTTCAGAATCCACAGGGCACCTTACTAGACAAGGAAGTGCTCTGTTCAAAGCCAGAGGCAGGGGCTGTGCACTCTGGGCTGGGGAGCAAGATTGTTGCTCATTCTCTAGTGCCCCAGCTCAGTGACACTGTGTGACTCTGTGGCAACCCCTTGGCTTCTCTGAGCCTTGGGTGTCCCTTTTGCGAATGGTGCCCCTGCCTCCCAGGTTTTTTTTCAGGAATGAGATGAGATCACACGCTGTAGGCTCTCCATCAGCATTAGTGTCATTGCTCTTGGCAGAAATGAGAACGTGTTTTGAAGGGAGCCTCTGGAGACTGTGAAGTTGAGATCTCTCCAGATAACCAGGGTTCTAGAGAGCCCCAGAGGCTGCTGGGCCAGCGATATATTCCTCCTTATTAGGGCTCACAAGAGAGCTGTGCAGGACCACGGCTGAGCACAGGGCAGAAGCCATGCTCACCGAGAGGCGAAAGCAGCACGTGTCAGCATGTTTATTTATTTGCAAGTTTCCTTACTAAGGTTCGGTCATGTTCTGACCCAGTAAGCTGTCAGAAAAGCAGTCACATAGCAGAGAGGGTGGACTTCAGAGTCCTTGTCATGGCTGATGGGCCCATCAACCATTTTCCTAAACCTTGCAAAGCGCAGGTTTCTCTGCAGGACAAGAGGAAAGGCAGGTCCTTCCCAGCCTTTTGCCTCCTCCTTCCTTCCTTGAATGAGATAAGAAAACAACACAGTGAAGAGAAAGGAACACTCGAGGGTAAAGAAATCATTAAAAAATTTTTGAGATGGGAGATGAAGTTGGTTTTGGAACAAGTTTTACTTGTATGCTGAAGTTCTTGTTCAGATTCTGACCTGGAGGAGTGGAGCTGAGCACAGGAGTCAAAGCCTCTGCCAGCTGAGCCAGTGGCCATCCTGTCAGGCAGTGTTACCGTGCTCCCTGACCTGGTGTTGACCCACTTCTCACAGAGCCATGTTCTTTTCTCCTAAGCCAGGAGCTTTGGTCAGCTTCTGAGGGTTTGCTCCCTGCATCTGTGAGAATGTTCTGCTTTTAGGGCTCTCTGCATTTTCTTCATTTCTGGGGAGAGGCAGACACAAGGGCAGAAAGACCTGCAGTTGCTTCCCCATGGATGCTCTGCAGCACCCTGACTTCCTATCCTAAGCTGACAGGAATACAGCCAGGTCAGTATTGGGTGCTCTCTCTGTGTGTTTTGATTCCCAGGGCTTCTCTGTGGTCCTCCAGTATGCCGTTAAATAATCTAAGGGTAGGGTTAGCCTTGTCTGAAACATTCACAAATAAACCTCTCCTTATGTGAAACAATGCATAAAAAGTAAGATACATGGGCAGTGTTAATGTTGAATGTGTTTACTTTCCCATAGCTAAAACAAAATATCCAAGATCTTCAGCTTAAAAAAAAGAAGAGAGAGGGGAAAAAAAAAGGTTTATTTTGACTGTTTCAGAAGTTTTAGTTCAGGGTCACTTGGCTCTTGTGACATCTTGTGATGGAGGAAGACGGCTCAATTCAGAAAGAGAGAGAGGAACAGAAGGAGTCCAGGCCCCTAATATCCATTTCAAGGGCATAATCCCTGAGACCCAAATTTTGTTCATTACACTGCATTTCTTAGATGTTCTCTTGTCTTTAATTACTGCTCCTTCTTTCTCCAGCTTCATCCTTTTCTTCTTTCTCTTCCCCTCCCCTCATTCCTCTCTTTTTGAGACCAGGTTTCATTGTGTAGTGGCTGGCCTGGAATTTGCTATGTCGACCAGGCTGACTCCAAACTCATAGACACCGACCGCTGCCAGGTATCTTAAAAAGATTGATTGATTATTTGCATGTGTATACACTTGCATGAGTTTATGTACACCATCTTCACGAAGGAGCTCTCAGAGGTCAGAGGAGGGCATTTATGATTCACCTGTTCGGGGTGTTGGACCCTGAACCCAGGCCCCCTGTGGAGCAGTAGGCTCTCTTAACTGCTGAGGCATCTCTCTCCTCTCCTTTCCTCTCTCCCTCCTTCCCTCCCTTCCTCTTTTCCTCTCTCCCTCTCTCTTTTTTTGTTTCTTCCTTCCTTTTTCATCCTGTCTCCCGCCCTTCCCCCTTTTTTCTTCTGGGTACTCCTACAGAGTAACATCCCCAGGCCTCTCTTGAGCAAAACCCGTTTCTCAATCCCTCCTCTTTTACCTCACAGCCCCTGTCGCTTGTCCCTTTTTAGATGTATTGTATCATCCATTTCGTATTCTCCTCCTGTGTCTTGTCCTTCTCCCACCAGTGCTTGGAAGCTTAATGACGGTAGAAATGTTGCTTAACAACAGCAGAGATGTTGCTTATCCGTGGCCGAGTGCCGAGTGTCTGTGCCTGCCTGGCTCATGATGGGAACTGAGGTGTGCCTGAAGCTTACTGTGCCCTCACAGTCAGTTCCTACCCTTTGCCACTTGAACCACTTGCAACACTCTTGTGTAAATAATTTCGTAACCACGCAGAGTTGAGGGACTGACGTATACACAGGTTAAGATGCTCAGGGCCACAGAATTCGGCCAGGAGCAAGAGACCAACATGACCTAAGTTCAGATGCTTTCTCCCAACTGCTCTCCTGTGGCATATGTTACCACACTGGGCCTCCATGTCTTCTATGTTTATTTTAATCAACATTGTTGTATCTTTCCACAAGACTTAAGAGATAGAGGATTTGGAGGAGTTGAAGGAGCGGGAATAATATGATCAAAATAAATTATATAAAAGTTTTACTTTAAGTAAGAAAAGCTTTCAGAGCCAGAGCTCTAAAATTCAGCGGCAAGGCCAATAATGCTGCTGCTGCTGCTGTGCACGCTCTCCACGCTCTCCCCAGCCTCTGTCTTTGCAAGTACTTCACAGCTTCTGCATTTTCTTCCAAATTCCTTAATCTTATACAAATGTTTCTATTTCTTCACTTCTCCCCCTCAGTTTACAACATTCTACATGGAAAGATGACATTTATAACCCTTCTCCCCATCTCTCTCTATCTCTCTCTCACACACATACACACACATACGTGTATACTCTCTCTCTCGCCCACACAGGTGCATTCGTGCACACACACACACACACACACACACACACACACACACACACACACACTTCTTTCTAATCTCTGACATCCAAAAACAACTATTTTGGTTGTATCATAGCCAGTATCTTCATCAGTTTCCTGTCCCTGTAACGTAGGCATTGGAGGATGGCTGACTGATTGACTTTGAACTACAGTTCTGAAGGCTCAGAAGTCCAAGAACACAGCACTTGCAAGGCCCTTGCACAGTTCCAGCCACGAGACAGCAGGAAGGGAAGTGGACATTGGGGAGAGAGAACACCTTTCGGTGACGTTCATTCTTCAGAGAGCAGGCCTAACCCTGGAGGGAGGCATGGATTCCTCTCTATAGCCTGATCACTTCTTACAGTTCCACTATATTGGGAAGTTAGTTTTCAGCACATAAACTTCTTGGGCATCCATGGACCATGTACATCTCATTCTGTGCTCTCTGAGTTGCCTTAAGTTTGTGTTTTTACACTTGAGCTTACCAGTTTGAGTCTGAGGGCCTCTTGTACTCTTCTCTGGGGCTGGAGCTTAGTAGCATCTGTGTGTTGAACTTCTGGAATGGCCTCTGTGACTCGCCTAAGTGGCTCAGTTCTCATGGCTGATGCAGCATATTGACACATGACCTCAGTTCTAGGAAGTTTTCTTCAGTTTCTAACTCTGGATTTCCTCTTCATTTTTTTCTGTCCCATTTCATGAAGCCTATTATTCTCCTACTAGATTCTCAGAACTCACCTTCGTCTGTCTCTTAAGTCTCTATTTTTAGACCATGTTTTACTACTTGCCAATCTTTTCAATAAGTTTTTAATTTCTGTCACATCGGAGGACCTAGGAAGGGAGTTTAGAGCCTTGTTGCAGAAAGTACAGTCACTGGGTGCCCTCTTGAAGGAAAGATTTGGAACACAGGGTGGCACACTAAGATGGATGCATAGTAGGTACACAACGAAACACAGAGGAAGGTAACCAAAAGAACACAGTGTAGGCAAAGGTGACGAAACAAACTCGCAGCCTTGGGAGAGGTGGTGGTCTTAAGAAGCATGCCCTCCATAGGCTTTGGTGTTTGAACTCTTGATTCCGGGTTGTGGCGCTGATTGAGGAGGTTTCAGAAATCTAAGCCAGTGGAAGAAAGTTACTGCTGGGGCAAGCTTTGCTAGTGAAACACCTCCCCCACTTCCACTTTTCTCTTTCTCCTTCGTGTTTGTATTTGAAAATGTGAGTTCTCAGCTCTCTGCTCCTGTCGCCATGCCTGTGGCTTGTGCTGCTGCTGCTCCAAATCTCGGACCCTTATCCCTCTGGAAGCATAAACTAAAATGAACGCTCTCTTCTGTCAGTTGCCTTTGGCCATTTTTTTTTTTTTTTTTTTTTTTTTTTTTTTTGTCACAGCCATGGAGAAGTGACTGGCATAGGAGGTCTAGGAAAAAGAGTGCCTAGGATTTAAGTTTACTTCAGGTACTTTTATAGATTAAAGTCCATATCAGATCTAGGTCCTAGATAGTTCAAGGTGGAAATAAGATCAAACGGCCTTAACCACAGACAGAATCCTGGTGAATCAGTAGCAGGTTAAATTCTCTACAATACATGACATTGAGGTCTTGACTGAAAACCTTCCAGTTGTAGAGGCATGAATGGGATAAACTCGATTAAACACACATAACACAGTATTATATATGCATTTTCTACTTGTTTCAAATGTATATGTATCATATATACTTACATATCTCTACATATTCCACATCTTCTTAACCATATACACAGATGTGACCTGTCGTCCACACAGTTTTAATAAAATATGGTGGTTCGCTAAAGCGACGAGAGTTTGCCAATAAAATGAAGCTGGCCTGCAAACCTGAGGAAGTAGCTAGGTCAGTGTTGACGCATGTCGTTGAAGTCTGTGAGCATCCTGTGTCCTGATCTTGCCACGCTGAAACTGCTCCCAGGCAGGTCATCTAGCATGCTGCAGAGACGTGAAGAAAGGCAGATGTTAGCCTCCAAGAGGGAGGCTCCCCCTGGGCCTCCTGCCAGTGCGAGCCTGACGGAGCATGCCGCAGCCCCACGTCTAGCACATATATTTTCTTGCTCTTTGTAAAGCCCCTGGGATTTGGACTGCCTGCTTCTGTTTCTGGGTTCCTTTCTTCCCAGGACTGGTAACATGCTGTCTTACCATCTCTCCCTGTCACTAACGCCTAAGCACTCAGGCTCTTTAAGGCTGTTACTGCTGATCCCGAACTGTTTTGGAAATCAGCCTGCCTAGCCCATTTCTAATAAGCTCCCTGGCTCATTTCTAGTCAGAAGATGAATGAGCAGCATGTGGATTCATGTTGATTAAATGAATGACAATTTCTGTGACATTTACAAAGCCTCTGTGGTTCCTGAATGTTCTCCCCAGAGGCTTTGACTGTTTTACCTTTCCTTAACATCTCTTTGACGTGAGCTCTTGAAAAAGATCATTGATGTCTGGGCCAGGGCCTTGCTGTCCTTTAAGACTTGGTGATAATACGTTCTCTTATGTGGTGCTTCTCAGGCTTGAACATGCCAAAACTTGCCTGGAGTGCTGCTGGAGCCACAGAACCACCTCAAGAGATCTGCATCTAGAAGGTCCGGGTATTACTGACACTGTTGGGCCGCAGACTAAAACAGGTCCTGACCACTGGGCAGCTGACTTCCTGTGGATAGCTGGTGTTTCCTCACCTCCCTGGGAACCAAAGTTCAAAAGTACAGTTCAGGTCTAGGCTTTTTATAGCTCAGATGGCTCCAGTGGTCCGTTTGTGGGATGTCTTCTCTCTTCAGCAGAATGTTGAGTAGATTTCCTTAAGAAAAAGAAAGGGGTTGAGGCCGTGCGATGACTCAGTGGATAAAGACGTTTGCTGCTTACGTGACCTGAGGTCAGTCCCCAGAACCCATGTAATGGTAGATGGAGCCAAGTCCGCCAAGTTGTCTTTGACCTCCGCATGTGTGCTGCGGCGTGTGAGAGCAACACACACTTTTTTCTCTTTAATATGAAAAGAGGGTTGGGGAGAAGAGGGAAAAGGAAGAAGGAGAAGAAGGAAGCTAATTGTTACGGGAAGATACAGCTCATGCATATGCTGGCGAGGGACAATCATGTGTTTATGCCATCGAATGCTCACAGCAAGCTACGTGTCGTATGGCTTGTCTGATTTGTAGGCATGTTCAGCAGGTAGTCAATAGAGATGGGGGAATGCGGGCTCTGCACTTCTCACTGAAGACTGCAGTCGCCTGCTCCAGCACCGCCTGCCTGGGTGAATCTCCCTAAAAGGTTCTCTTTTGCTTTCTGAGAAAGTCTTCCAAGGAGAACGCTAACTGATAGGCCCTACGCCTGATGAGCAGCCTCAATTTTCCTTATTCAGACTAAGAACTTCACCATCTTCCTAGGGTCTGCGGGACTCCCTCAGCTGCCCTCTGGCCTGTGAAAACAGAAATACACATTAATAATGTCAGAAATAGCTCACAGCAAAATGGTTTAGACAACTTGCACCAACGGAGCTCTCCGATTTTTCCAGCAGACCTAAGGAAAATCAGGAAACAGGACTAATGTGAAGGAGTGATCATATTTCTCCCATGGAATTCTTTATTTCTGTTACATTACATGACCCTTCAGCGGTAAATACACATCTGTACATAAAATATAACTGCATATAAAGTTTTCTATTATTGTTTTGATATGAGAAAGCAATACTAAGAGATATAATTGCAACTATGTAAGACAGTATGAATCATTTTGGCCTTGTCTATCCTGGCACAGTGAGCTCTGGGTTTTAGTGTCCAAGCTTTATGCGGCAGCTGCAGGTTGGGAGGGTCTGTTTTTTTTTTTTTTTTTTTTTTTTTTTTAACTGGCAGGAAACGTGTGTTTTCAGTGTGGGGAGGTAGGTTAGACCTTTTCATGATATTCTGTCTAGAGATATTATCTGAGCCTCTCGTATGACAAGTCCCTACCCTTCTTCCTTCTAACTGTCCCAATCTTGGCAAGGATAGCGGCCATGTTGTAGGAGGACCTGGGTTCCTCTAAGCCCAGCTGTATCAATATTTAGCTACAGGGTATTCAGCCACTTCTGTTCATCGGTTTGTTTCCTGTAAGGTGAGACAGTTATATGGAATTATTTTTAAATGTAAAACTTTATGAAACTAAAATTGCTATACAGAATTTTAAATTTCATGTTATGTGAGTGAGCTACTTAAATCCTTGACAATTTTCATCTAAATGCTTAAAATAATTTTTCTTAGAGTGTTGGCAGTTTGTCAACTCTGAGAACTCAAAGGAAAAAAATAGAACCTTTTTAGGCAATTAACTGGAATGTTGGGGCCTGTCCCTTAATTATTAAGTGTTTGAGAAGAGTAAGAGAATAATGGGCAAGGTGATTTTTATATTTCTCACTTAAGAACATTGATTTTAGTGTGTGAGAACATTGCCACTTGTCAGTGGTGAGAAAGAGATATCTGTGTCTTCATGAAGTTTTGTCAAGTCAAAACTAAAGGAATGGGAAATTAGGCCACAAGAGAGCTTGTGACTCAGCATGCGCCCCGCAGCCTGAGGAGATTCCATAGAGGAAGGCAAAGGAAGGGCTCTGGATGTGGTTTGGAGACTTTGGGAAAGGCTGAGCAACTCAGGGAAAGCACATCTGCACATCCATGAGATCAGACAAGCCCGTAGGATGTTCTCTGTTTCTCAGCCCCGAACATGCTTATTCAGCACACACTCACCTTTGGAAGCGTGCTTTCAGGTCTGCACGGGCGGGCGTCCCTGCCCTGATGAGAATGCACACACAGTTCTGCTGGGAATGCCATTTATTCTGATGTAGAACAGCGTCGTCCAGTTCTCCTGGAAAACCACAGGGTGTCTACATCAGTGCGTGGCCAGAAGTCTCCATTAATGACCCATCACAGCATCTCATTTTGGCACAAGTGATTGGTATAAGACCCAGCAAAGTCTTTTCTAGAAGCCTGGTCACTAGTCAACCAGAGTTCTTACTGAACATCTCTGGGAGGAGACGGAGGTTTGAGGCTGGAAACAGTTGATATCGGGCAGAATCCAACAGGATACTTATCAAGGAGGACTGCTTACTTTCAAGTATCAGGTTTTGTGTGCGATCCAGGGCCACCGATAGGCTGACGACCTCAGTTGGGAGAGAGCTTGCCTTACATGCATGGAGTTCCGTGTTCCATCGCCAGTACCACATACAACTGGGTCTGGTGGCCGTGGCTGTAAACCTACCCCTGAGGAGATAAAGGCAGGAGGATCAGGACTTCAAGGTCATCCTCAGCATGTTCAAGTAGAGAGCATCGCAGCCAAGGGAAGTAGAGAGGCGGGTGATGCTAGCGTTTGCTGCTCTCGTTTGGGTAATGCTGATCGGCTGTTATAGTCTCAGTGTGAGATGCCTTCCATGGGTTCATGTGTGATGCTTTTTGGGGAACGTGCTGGGAATGTTAGGTGGGGTCCTTTTGTAGGTCACTGGGGGTGGGCCTTGAGATCTTTGGGTCCTGCCCTACCTCCTGTCCTCTTGTCCCTGACTGCCCAGGGAAGGGGGCCACCCGTCTTACACTCATGCCACCACTCCTTCCTTGGCATAGCAGATGTTTCCTGTCCACTGTGGGCTGAATAGACGCTTTCTCCCTCAAGTTGCTTCTTGTCAGGTAATTGATCACAGTACGAAAAGTAACAGACACACTCATTCGAGTGTTGGGCAACTGAGCAAGTTCCTCCTAAAGGCTGTTTGTAAAAGCTTGTGTAATCCATCATTATGCATGCATCATCCAGCCCCGTCCCAAACCCACGTCAGTCACTTCTACTGTGGTCACTGCTGTACAGCCACACCACAGTCTTCAACGTACGGCATTTCTATCATGTGAAGTACAGTACTTCACAGCAAGCCCTTGGCTTCAAACCCCAACACTGCAAAGAAGGAAAAAGATTTTTATCCCCTGAAAAACAAAGCCTTCACTTATGAAGTCGCTTCCATTTTCCCCCATCCTCCCCATCCTCATCTATAGTCTTAACTGCTAACCTGCATATTGCCTTTATTGTCATTTTTCTGTTCAGAACACTGCGTATAAATGGAAGAAGTGCCATTGTGGTTGGCTTCCTTCACGGACAGGGCTGTTAAATCTTGGATTTCTCTGTAGAATTTATTCACTTGTGAAGACAATTTTCTTTGTGTGTGTTTTATTACTGACTGGACTTCTTTTCTCACTTATAAACTGTACTATATACATATATATGCATAAATTATTCTATATACAGAGTATACTATAAATGTAAAGTGAAACATGTAGCAATACCTCTCTCCACACACACACACACACACACACACACACACACACACACACAC